AATGAAAGCTGAGAGTCTGCACTTTAAGCAGGTATTCATTGTTTCATTTAAAACCCATTGTGGTGGTGTACAGAGCCAAAATGACAACAAGTGTATCATTGTCCAAATAATTATGGACCTGACTGTATGTCCACCTGATAAAACTAAGTCCAATTTTCTCTTTCTTTTAGCTCTGTTTTTAGTCTCCACCAACTCCAGAGAGATATGTGTGTCACTTTACCTGTTGAATGCTCCATTGTGTTCATCAGCTCGTCTCTAACTGCGTCTGTCTGTAGTTTGGTGATAAGCAGGTATGAACAGTAGATTTTTAGAGCTTTAACTCCAAAAACATTGGACAACATCAGCTGATGGAGCAGCTGATTGATGGGGGTCAGCTGATAGATCACACGATTTCTTTCTTCACAGTCAGTGAATCTCATTCAGGGCGCCCTATTTAAACTACTCTGAGCTGCCTACTGTTGCTGCTTCCTCTGCAAGCCGCTTTGCAACCCACCTCCACCCCAGCTCCTCCTTTTCATGTTGTGTCTGATTTATCAATGTCATTTCTGTTTGTCATTGATGCTGCTCTGTTCTGTTCCCGTAGGGTCTTTGCTGCTGCTCTCTCTGCCTTAGGCTTTCCATGTAGGCGCATGGAAGGGCAGTGAGGTGTGCTCTCTCTGCCTCAGGCTTTCCACATATGCGTGTGGAAGGGCAGAGAAATGGACTCCCTCCACCTTAAGCTTTCTACATAGGCCTGCAGAAGGGCGAAGAGAGCGGTGAGAGATTAACCAAAACAGTAACGTTGCAATCAGACAGCTACATGATTTCCCAAAACTCTATGAAGCTCGGTAAAGCCTGAGGAGAGCTGCAGATGCAGCTGGTAATTCTCTGTGGGTTCATCACTAATGACGATTTCTTTTTCATTGTCACATTTTTTTTATATTGTCTTTTGACAGGCTGTTGTGTCGTGTTATCATAGAAATATAGGTAGGTATTAGCTGCCTTTAAGATTGGTGTCTGCACATGTTCAAGTCCGAAAGTATTGTGAAATAGACATGGTGGACATCATGAAAGAGGACCCGCTCTGTATGTCGATATAAACGGCTCATTCTAAGGTAATGAAAACACAACAATTTTCAGGTAATTATAAACTAAACTAATTTTGAATATTATATACTTTTTCTGCAAAAAGATGACCCTAAATCCTACACGCTGGACCTTTAAGTTACATGTCATCACCACTGAATTTAGGTGAAGCTGATGTTGCGTTTTCTGTCTGATGGACTTGAACTGAGCCCACACTTACCTGAAGCTTCACCCCTTGGTCATGAATAATGAAATGAAATACCAGTGGAGCACCGCTGCGCAGTCCAGTGTTCCCACCCAGCATGTGAAACTCACAACTCCTGTCCCTTGCTATTTCAGAGATGACGGACAACAATTCCTCACAGAACACACTGCACGAAGTTATGAGTGTTAATATTTCATCACAGTGAGCAGGAGGTGCAGAAATGGATGCATTATGGATGGTAAGTGGTGCTTGTGTTGTGCAGTCTGTATGTAGAACAAGGTTTAGATCTGTGTTTATTTAACAGTAAGGATAGTGATGATGTGTTAAAGGGATACTTCAGCCACAAAATGACCATCTGTATATCAGCTAGCCATGATGTGTAACCTTAAATTCCTTAAGAAAACGTTGTTTCTCTCACATGACTCCGCAGAAAACGGCATTTGTTTACAAACTCTCACACAACTCCTGCAGTAATCCAAATCTCATTTATCCAGTCAGTGCAACCCTAAACACATGTATTGTCAATATAACCTTAGTATTGAGATCTGGCTTTGAAGAGACCATAGATAAGTTTCACTTTCACGTCAGTTCTAAATATTAGAGTCTTTTAAACTGGACAAATGCTACAAGAGGTTTCCACTGTATCTGTGAAACATTAACACGTTAGCATTTTCACTGTGAAGATGTTAGCTGCGTTAGCATTTATCTCAAAGCACCACTGAACAGCCTCACAGAGCCACTAGTTCTCAACAGGCTGAAAAAATTAGAACCCGAACCGACCCATGTGAGTTGAAGCCCAAACCCAGCCAGTCCGAGATTATCACATAAAATACTGATCCCGAGCCTGACCAAGTCTGTCCCCCCCAAAAAGCTCTTGTTGGCCTCAAACGCCCAGGACACACCAGCTGTGTGGCGTCTCCAGTGGAAAATGGACCAGCTTGGTGGATTACCGAGCCCGACTGTCCCCTCTCCTTCTCTCCCTGCCCACAGGGCAAAAGGAAGAGGGAGCTGCTCGCAGAGTGCACTTTTTTTTTTTATTTAGTTAAAAAAAAAAATATCCCTACCCAACCCAGCCAGTCAGCACACATTTTCGGCCCAGACTCGGTCCAGCCTGTCAGGCTTTTCGGGACCCGTTGGTCTTAGGTTGAGATTGAGAACTCCACTTGTGTGACTGCAGCCTCGTGTTTTTTTTAAATATTTTTTTGGCTTTTTGAAAGAGTGGGGATGACATGCAGCAAAGGGCCACAAGTTGGAACTGAGCTTGTGGCTGCTGCAGCATGGATATTGCCTTTGTACATGGGACGCCTGCTCTATCCACTAAGCTACTGGGCGCCACACAGCCTCTTGTTTAGACTGGAAAAAAGATCTTCCATCTTCCAGTCTGAGTCCCACCCAGCTGCTCACAAAACTCCACCTCTACAGTACCAAGGTGGGCATTTCAAATATACTCAGGGTGCTTTCAGACCTAGAGTTGTTTCTTTGGTCTGAATCAGGAACTAATTTTGTTACACAGTTGCATAATTGCCTAGAGTTGGTTCGTGTTCTTACGGCAGCATTTACAAGAGGACCAGATAAAATGCCTTGTGTGAGAAAACTGCTCTTGATTGGTTAGAATTTCCATGCGGTAAAAATCCAGGAAGTAAACAAGACGTTGAAGTGCCTACACTTGCAAGATAAATGCAACACTTTCTAATGTCACAATGGAGGGACAATTACGCAGGTTGATTTTAGCGCTGATCATCGTGGACTATATTGCTGTCATTGTTCATTTGAGTCAAACCATACAGTTTGAAAACAAGGCAACAATATTTTGATGCATTGAATGTGCTGAATGTTCATATTAAGGCAGTACAGGAGGAGGCGCACATTAATAATCCTCCAGAAAGACAGACAGTGTGATAGAGACAGAGGGTGGAGCTGGGGCAGATGATGAAGGTAAAAAGAGATCGGGAGGATGAGGAGAGGACTGAGGAAGAAGAGCGACAATATTGATTCTGTAGACTATTTGCAGACGATCTTTGACTATTTCTCATGAATTTCTCCATTATTTTGTTCCACAGTACAATAACCCTCTCACAGTGTGGAGGCGAGACAATAAAGATGTTTGTTTTCTTCCTCAGTCTTCTGCCCATGTGGGGCATAATTAAGATCTTAACAACCATAAAGGAATTACTGTAATGTCTTTTAATGTTCTCTTGCCAGTAATTATGCAATCTGTTGAGAGAAATCAGCTAAAATGTGCTGAGATTCCAGATTGACAAAAGCACATGCAGTAATGCTTTTGAGTGAAATTAAATATTGTATAAACAGTTAATGACTGACTTCTCTAATAACTTCTACAAAAGCAAGTCAAAACCCAGGTTGCTCCTCCAGCTGTGCTCTTTGTATCCAGAGCTGACAGGGATAAAAGCAGTAACACATACTCTACCTAAAAGCAAAGTTTTTTGTTTTTTTTTCCCCTTCATATACCTGTTAAGAGCTGTTGCCCTGGATAACTCAGTCAGCCTCCGACCAGCAGCAGGAGGGTTTCTCAGGCGTTTCCTGTTACGTAACATCAGCACGAAAATAACCTGCCAACATGACAGGTTGGCTGATAAAAATTTCATAAACGGTATCTGATATAAAGTTATTTTTAGAAAATTGTTGATTTAGCTCTGAAGCATCATTCCCGTATTTCCGTGAAATTCAGTCAAGTGCATACACACTCAAAGATATGCAAACACACACACACATTTATGAGGTCTGAACACAGACAACAACACAGCTGAATTAATCCCCATAACAATACTCTCTTTTTCTCTGACTGATTACTTTTCATTGTCCCCTCTGCACATATTACATTTGTTTCACCAGTGTCTGTAATGTTGATTTTATTCCTGTATCTTTGTTTTTAATATTTGTTGAGTGTGAAGCACTTTGTATAAATGATATTTATTACTACGACTACATGTTTGACACCATTTCACATGTGATAAATTAACATTATTTTCAGGTATCTGACATGTGGTTTTTCAGCATTACACATGACATATATTTTCATCTTCAGACTTCAAAATCTGAATTTGACATGCTATTTTTTTGTAAGGCATTATGTCACTCTGTTCCTCCCTCTCTCCTCCTGCTGTTGAGCATTCTGCATGAACGAAAGAGAGAGAAACCAGGAAGGCAGAGGCTGCGACTCTGCATTTACAACTAAGTGCATGAGAGTGACTGTGTGTGTGTGTTCCTGTTAAAGTGTGTGTGTGAGGGAGAGGGAGAGGGAGAGAGGGATGCAGATGTTTGGCAGAGAGAGAAGAAGAGAGGGATTTGGCCGACCTGTCGGGGTCTTTCATGTCACATTTCTGCCCTGAGGACCTGACCTCTGTCTCTCTGTCTGGAAAATAACCTGGAAAAACTAAAATGGAATATCGGAAAACTCCACTCTGCAAAACAATTGGAGCAACATCCCCCCTGCTGCCTCTGCCTCAGAGGAAGAGCTGAAGGAAAGAATGACTGAAAATTTTAATTTGTATCAGCGTAAGAAAGTGAAGAGGAGAGGAGGGCTTGTGTACGTGGGCCTGTCTGACAACTGGGGGAGGAGGATGCAGGCGATTTATTCATATAATTATACTGTTTTTTTTCTTCTTCTTTGAGGGAAAAGTGGAGAGCGGACAGGAGATAGTAGGAGAGGGGAGGAGAGAGTAGAGGAGTACAGAGCAGAGAGAGGAGAAGACCAGAGCAGAGAGGAGGAGGAAGGAGAGGAGGAGGAAGGGGAGGAAAGGAAGAGGAGAGGAGAGGAGGGGAGAGGTGTAAACACACTCCAGATGGGATCCTGGCATTAATGAAATGTAAGTATAAACAGTGTGTTTGCATGTGCATGAGGCGAGAGCTGCACATGTTGATGCTGCTGCTGATACTTTCTGTCTCTTTTGATGATCACAGTCATGTTGATGATGTCAAGTGTAGTACGCTGTAGGGAGCCTCTGGATCACCTCTACACATTACTCTGTCTCCGTCTCGACTATCTCTACTCTCTCCTGCTCTTATTCTCTCTGTCTGTCTTATTTTATCTTTTCCAATTCTGCGTACATACTGTATCTCTCTGCCTGCTCTCTCTGCAGGTCATGTTAGATAGTAACCGTGCAGCAGCACAGGGAAAGGCCAGTGTCACATTGCATTAGTATTACACATGCACACAGAGGGAGAAATACGCTTAAAGTGTGATGAGCGCACGTGGACGGTGTGTGTGAAGTGTGTATGTGTATCTCCTGTGTGTGTATGAGCTCGGCTGAAGCAGGCATAAGAACCATATAGTCATCTTAACCACATGGAGAGAAACAAAGAGCTATTGTGCCACATGAGAATTAGGGCAGGCTGCACAGACACACAGGAAAAGTAAGAGGAAGATCAGTGAAGGAGGAAGGAAAAGTATCTTTGTACTGTTGGCATGTTGGATCTAGACGTTGGTCATGAAGCAATATAAACACATTGGATGATTTAATAGGCACCAAGAAAGCTGCTCTCATGTCATTATCTGCGGAACCTTTTTTTAATTATCTGAACTGACCTGTTGCAATAGACCTGATGCATTCAGTGCTTCCTGTAGATTGAACCATGTTTAAAAGAATAGTCCCTTATTTTGGAAAGCGTAATCGTAACCCTTACTGCAGGGAATTCATGGTAGCAGTTAGCTTAGCTTAGCATAAAGACTGGAAACATGGAAACAACTAGCCTGGATCTGTTCTTAGATAACACCTACTAACTCCTCTAAAGCTCACTAATTATCATCTTATCCACACAGTTACTTAGGTACCGACATCTAAAACTATGCAGTCTAATACAACAGTGCATAAAATACAGCCTCCAAATGACGGGAGTGTATGTTCCCAGGGTCCAGTGTTCCCCAGAGTAATATCCTCTTAATGTGACACATTAACGACGCCTTTCAGAAGGTTTTATGTTCTCACCAAATTTATGTTTCTCTGGGTCAGATGTTGAAAATCACTCGTCTACTGTACAGATTGTACCCTGCTGATGTCATACTACTTGCAATCTTGGAGCGCATCAGCGATCAGAGTCACGACGATAAAGCCTCTGGGTGCAAGGGCTGATATTTCGGGCTGATCTAGGCTGCGTTCAGCACCGATAAAATGTAGCAAAATGTTTATTCAAACAGAAACACTGGTGCGTTGAATACCCTGTTCTGTTACGCAGGCTCACTGCCTTTTAATACGGCAGGGTTTAATTTAGTTCAATTCAAAGGCGCTTTATTGGCACAGAAAACATTTACACTGGCAAAGTAAGAAAGAAATACAAACACAAATTGTAAGTATAATCAATAAAGATCTACTAAAGATTTATTTGCATACTGGTCACTGCTGATTGGGTAACACCCCTGACGCACCCACCACATTAGAGATCCTGTACCTTAAAGCCTGTTTTACACCGTCTTGAGGAACACACGTCGTCCAACCCAGACACTGTAGCAAAACGGTGCACACCATTTTAAAGTCAATGTGCCCCTGTTGTAGCTAGCGGATATCCAAGCCACTTCCTGCTCTGTGTGCCAATCAATACTGCTAATCTCTATAGTTAAATGAATGCAGATAAATTTTAAAAAGCTAATGTGGGGTGACAGTAGCTCAGTCCATAGGGACTTGGGTTGGGAACCCGAGGGTCGCGTGTTCGAGTCCCCGTCCGGACCAAAATATGGAGTGTGGACTGGTGGCTGGAGAGGTGCCAGTTCACCTCCTGGGTGCCGAGGTGCCCTTGAGCAAGGCACTGAACCCCCCAACCGCTTGGGGCGCCTGACCAAAGGGCAGCCCCCTCACTGAGATCTCTCCACTTTGTTCATGTATAGGTCCTGTTTGTGCATGTGTGTGTCTTTCAGACCTGTATGTAATTGACAAGCAAGAGTGAAAACATTGAATTTCTCCTCAGGGGATTAATAAAAGTAAATAAACTTAAACTTAATAAAACTAACTCGTCATCAGATGAGAGCAGATGGGTTCTGAGACCACATCATATTTCACCTCTCCACACAGAATGTCTACCTGTTGTTCAAACATGATTGGTCAATACTGCTTGAACTACAATCAGACTACAAACAGAAACCAGAACACTTCAGATACCAAAATCTTGTAACGTTGCCTACACATTCTGCTTACGTATGCAGGAAATGTTTGAAGAGATTATGTTCCTTCAAATTTGCTGTCCAGAGAGTTATCTTATTTTCTTCAGACATTAATATCTCCACAGTGGCTGAATGGATTTTTGCCATTTAAATTGCAATGGAAACATTAATATTCCTTCATTTTTTTGGAGATTGAAATGTAAAAATATCCCTTACCATTAAAACATTAGTTTAAGAACACAGGACCCAGGGAACATAGGTATGTCCCCCAAATGCCTATATAGAAAAATCAACATCTCTCTAAAGCAGTTTAAACAAACAACAGGTCATGGCTGGGCTATAGACCGAATCACCATGACCTTACACTATCAAATGTGAAATCAGCAAACTTGTTTATTTTTTGTTTTCATTGTTTTGTTGTTGTCAGCCGTTACTGTAAGGTAAACATGCTGGTCCAACCTATCTGACATTTCTGCCATGCTTATTTTATGTATTGTTTGCTTTGCTAGCGTCTTTCATAAACCAAATCTTCTGGCACAGATGCTGAAAAAATGTACTGCTGTGGACGGAGCCTGCAGCAAAACGTCTTTCAACCACATACAAAAAAACATAAAATAAATCAATATCAGTGTAAGTGGTAAAAATATTGAAAATATAGTGTAAAAATTAAACTGATAATGATTAGGTAGCTAAAAACAGACCAATTAGGGCAGTGTTTGCTCAGCGCTGTTTCATTTCATGTAGGCCTACATGACCCAAGCGTTTTTTTCCTGGGAGTTATTGCAAACAAACACTGTAATTTGGTCTGTGTCTTGACAATGACCTGTTGCCAGGTTACCAGCTGAGACATCAGGAAGCTGCTGGTCCACCTGGCCAAGACATCGTTCATAATGTAACCCTCCTAAACAGGCAAATTGTTGTTTTTACACTTAAGCTCTTATACAGATTAAACAAATTAGATATAACATGTTTGTTATGTTATCTTTGGACAGAGCCAGGCTAACGGTTTCCTCTGTTTCCAGTCTTTATGCTAAGCTAAGCTAACTGGCTGCTGTTGGTAGCTTCATATTTACCATACAGACATGAAAGTGGTATCCATTTTCTCATCATACTTTTAACTCTCATCTAATAAAAAACAGATTTATTTTCTTAAATATCTTTTGAGTCACATAAATGAATAGAGTGAGTGAGATAAACTGAGAGAAATCCACTTATGTGTTGTCTGATCGTCAGTGTAAACAGCTCCTGTTGTCTAGACTGTTGCACATCAGAGTGGCTGTGGCTGCAGGCCAAGACTCTTATACTAATGTCTTTACATAACTGATGCTCAGCTGCCTGATAGTAAATTATGGCGTGAGCTGTCTCTACACTTACCTGTTGAGACACTGATATTGTTCTTTCTCTGCTTGTACTTGTTCATAAATGTTGCATAGATGCAATTATGAAGCACAGCAGTCTTTAATTTTTGAGTCAAGAAATCCTAAATAAAAAAAAGTGTGCCTGTAATACACTAAACTATGAATTACTTGTGATGGCATGGTGACATGCTTTTTGCTGTTACAAACAGTAACCCAAAATGACAAATCCAACAGTCAGAAAGAGAGAGTAAGAGCAAGAACAGGAGAGAGAAGGGCAGTCACGTCCTGCAGCATTTACACACAACATCACAAAATGACCCTGACAGTCGGTGGATTTAGAACTGCTCCGAGGTTGTGTTGTGTTCGCTTGTGTTATGTTTCACTGCAATGTCATGCGATCTGTTGTCGTGTTGTTTCCTCCTGCACTTGCTGCGTCGCCTTTTGACTGTTTTGTTAGTTTTGCAACATAATTACAGGCCTGAGGTATGTTTTTATGGTAATGATGAGACATAAATGCATTTTACTGGGCACATGTTTTCACAGATGTGACAGGGGACATGCAGATTTGTTCCTCAGTGTGATCCCAGTGTTCACTAAAGGGTCAAGAGTGCTGCGCCTTGTGTTTCAGAGCTTTTACAGCAGAAAACATCTGCAAAAATTAGGCCAGTTTGATAGTCTCTGAGAGCATCATCCATTTTTTATTTGTTCAAGTTTAAACTTCTGCCGTGCCTTTACAGCCTCATGGCATGACAGTATCACACGCAGGTTTGGCCTCTTCTTCTTCAGTCTTCACTGTTCGTTTTTAAAGATCTTCTTTTCATGGCACGATACATTTACAGTTGTTTGTCGTGAGGTCTGGTCTATCTTCATGAAGTGATTAGGCCTGTTTGTGATCATTAATAAAAGGTTTAGCAGGGAAAAAATCTCATAAACACCCAATGAAAACACATCAACATGTAATGAGATGTGTTTAAAGCTGTCAGCAGGGGAAATCATAACAGGCTCATGAAATTAAAAAAGCTCTACAAAAGGAGAAAATCAATGTCTGTGTCCTTTTAACCCCGCTGCACTCTGGGTTTGTATTTCCATAACCGGATTAACACGCTCATCTGTAGAGCTTCATTTTATTTGGAAGAAGATATGCAAAAGTTTTGGACGAGAACCTTATGAGATGTTAGTGAAGAATGTTAGTGTAGCCGAGGGGCTTCGCACATTTTTGGAGTAATTATATGCTTCAAGCACAGTTCACAGATTTAAAGTGTCACTTATATGTGCAGATATTGCTTAACTCAAGTGTTACAACTTCTCAGATAAGGAGAATAAAAGTTATTTAAGACACAGACTCTCATTTATCTTT